CTAACATTTAAACACACACTACATTTTGAATTAGGTCAAAATACTCAAAATCAATTGTCAAGGCCGTGGCACACAACATTTTCAAACAGAGGGTTACAAAGTGCAGAGGATTTCAAGCAAACTTAGGTTATCATACAAAGTCAGATGAATCCCGGACATTTAGTCCAAGTGCACAGTAAGCAATAATTTCTACCATACTGAGTGACATACAAGTAACAAGGGAAATGTAGTAGAAGGATTCATGTCATAAATATTTGTCGTGAATATTTTCATATTCTTCTGCGCCTTTAGAATTTAATGGCTGTGGTTGATGAAGAAATAGTGATACTCACAAACATACATTTGCTTCCACGCCTTATAAAAGCTCGACCTTCTGACTGCTCCACACATACTGTTGCGTCCACACCCGACTGTCCAACTGCCAAGTGAGCAGGAAGAAGAAGCGGGAAGACAGCACGATGAACGTTGTTATGCAAATGACAACAGGTACAGCTCATTTTAGGTGAGAGGTTGTTACTGAAACTGTTCACGAATGTTCAATAAACCCGGCGGAGATACCTTCATATGCTCAAAAACGTGCAAATATTCGATGTCACATACGATACTCAGGGGCGGATCCAGAGATATTTTCTGACAGTGTTTCATAATATATTTGTTGATCCATCCTCCATTTTTGACCGTCTTCCGACAGAAAAAATTAGATACCCGTCAATGTAAACTTGAAAATCTGACCGTCTTCCGGAAGACCCAAAAGACGGCCTAAATCTGCCCCTGATACTCAACAAGACCAGAAGTGTTTAACTGGGACTACAACACATTATTTTGTACAGGTGACATTCGTCCATATACTAACCCCAATACTCCAATGAACCCTAACCTGTACTAATCATATGGAGCCCGGACTTCCATTCCTAGGACTACCATTCCTGTTACACGTTTCCCCTATGTGAAAATTATTCTGAAAAATCAGCATCGGGGGGCTTTCTTTACATACACACAACAAAAAGAAATCGATAAGGTCAACTGCCATGCTACGATACATTTTTTGCTCAGTTAGGGAAATTGGCCTGCTGACTAAAAATTTAAGTTGCAGCATCAAGCCCACGTTCGCCATTCATGGAATCAGAAGTTTGGTTTTTAACGAGAACAAAGTCGCGAGACGTCAATGATGAACCTGAATGAATCACATCATTTTGAATTTCTCATAGTTTTATAACAACTTGTACCAGGTTTTCGACGGGTCTTTCATGTGATCAATCCCTTGATAAAACGTTATGGTTCATACGAATAGTCCGGTGGCTTAAGGAAAAAATCGTGACACGGCGGATAAAAGCACTAAATTTTGCATGTGGGTACCCTTTGACATACTAAATCAAATAAGAGCCGTAGCCCACGGAAAAAAATTACCGTTTGGCCAAAAAATCCAAAATGGCCGCCAATTTATGGAATTCTACAGAAATGTGTACAAACCTTTGTTGATTTTTATCAAATAAATAATTTTTGAAAAAAATCCAAGATGGCTGTCATATGCCATAGAAACAGCCATAGGAATACTAGTGCACAACTAATATCAGCTAGAAAGATACGTTATCCAGTATCAAATTAAGTATGTTTCTCAGATTTTTGTTACCCGCATAATATGTTTGTGGTGAGTAACTACGAAGTGTCATTGGGCATTTTGGAAAATCCAAGATGGCTGCCATGTGCCACAGGAATTCTAGTATACGGGGGATTCAACTAATGGCAACTGGAAAGATTAATTTTCCACTATCAAATTAAGTTTGTTTCTGGGTGTTTTCCACATCCTTTCCACCCACACAATATGTATGTGGTGAGTAACTAACATGTTTTCCTGGGCATTTTGAGAAAATCCAAGATGGCCGCCACTGGAATACTACTGGAATTACAACTGCACATCCATGGCTTTTCATCTACTACCAGGGTGAAATTGTGTTTGCTTATCAAAGGTTGGATCTAATGCCAGCTAATTCACTATCAAATTCAGTTTTTTTTAGTGTTTTACACATAATTATTACACTGTGATACATATCTAGCAGGTAATTAATGTGCATATTTGATCACTTTGAGAAAATCCAAGATGGCCGTCATTGGCCATAGGAATACTACTGGAATTACAACTGCACATCCATGGCTTTTCATCTACTACCAGGGTGAAATTGTGTTTGCTTATCAAGTTTTGCCCATCCTTATTAGTCCTGTGATATATATCTGGTGGGTAAATAGTGTACATCCTTGGATATTCTGAGAAAATCCAAGATAGCTACAATTTGACATAGGAATACAAATGGGTGGGTTTCAATTACTGCTAGAGAGGCATATGGTTTATTATACATGTACAATTACATTACCATGGGTTTGTTCTAAATATAATTTATGTTTTTCATTCCATTTATTATTACTCCTATGATGTATACCTGGTCTGTAGCATGTGTGTATCTTTGAGTATTCTGGAAAAAATTCAAGATGTCTGCCTTTTGTCATTAGAATATTCAAACATATAATCAAATAATGCCAGAAATACACTGAGTACAATTTAAATGCAGTTAACTTTAGATCGTTTTTAAATATTTTTCATATCCTATTTATCCTTATGTTGTAAAGCAAATTACTTACACTTTCACTAATCACAGATAACAATTAAAGCGGAATCAAAAGAGTAAAAGGACAGAGAGTTATTGAGTGTAAGTTAAGTTTCTCCAAGAGTCAACAAGTGTAGAACATGTTTTTAGTGTCAGAAAAAGATGGAAAAGGTCAAAGTCAGTAACAGTTAATGTGATTGGTTAATTTCATAACATATTTTAATTTTGATCATCTATTTATCACATGATAGCTGAGTTTTGGATAAGGTCCAAGCATGAGTAATCCAAATAATATTTTAGATATCTTTAATTGAAAACAAGTTTCTTAGGGATTACCTAATAAGGAAATGTTGCATAGTGACTTGCAACATGAGAATGGAAAATATTTTGTAATCACGCAAAGACAATGGAAAAGAAAACAAGTAAATGCGTGATCAGTACGGAGAAATTGAGTATAAATATTTGTGAAGTTGTAAGAAGCAAGAGTCGGTGAATAAACGTTCGAAAGCTCCAAACTGCTGTCGTCATTTCTCACTATAACACTTATGAAAGACTCTGTGTGTGTAGAAAGTGTATGTATCCTTGAGTATTATTCGGAGAAAACCCAAGATAGCTGCCAGTTGTCATAGGAATATGTCATTCAAATGCAAATAGGTGTCAATTAATGGAACACTTCAGACATTGATTCCAACATGAAATAAAGCCGTTTTATGTTCAAACATGTTGACATCCTTATTAACCTTACTCTATATCTGTTGTGTAGCAAGTGTGCATCTTGCGCATTTGAGAAAATTCAAGATTGCTGCAATTCACAATTTAGGAATAGTACATTCAACTACTGCCAGAGAGACATTGGGTTCAATGTAAAATTAATTTTGTTTTTCGGTATTTCCCACATTCTTTTTGGACTTTGAGATATCTATCTGGTGGGTAACAAGTGTATACCCTTAAGTATTTTGACAAAATATCATGATTACCCTCATTTGCCTTAGAAGTGCCTATAAAATCTAATGCACCAGTTTTCCTATGGGGAAAAGAAGGCCATCTTGGATTTCCCCAAAATGATAAAATATGGAAATTAATTACCTAACAGATATGTATCATGGGATAATAATACTAAAAAAAAAACAGAACAACAACTGAATTCAGCTTCATTTTATATGTAAGCCTATCTCCCTCAGGCATTAACTGAACCCCAACTTCTATGGCTAATGGCAGCCATTTTGTTTTGTTTTTTCAAAAAGGATACACATAACATTCTCATCATATATATATATATATATATATATATATATATATATATATATATATATATATATATATATATATATATTATGTGAATTAAAAAGATGTGGAAAATACTCAGAAACAAACCTAACTTATCAATTAATATTATATCTACAGTACATTGCAGAAGAAGCCCTATGTGTATTCCTTTGATATGGCGGCCATCTTGGATTTTTCTCGAAAAGCCTGAGAATAAAGGTTAGTTACTCACCACAAATATATTATTTGTGTAATAAGAAACAATTAGATAGTGGGCAATGCATCTTCCTAGTTGGCATTAGTTAGTTGAAAACCCGTGTACATGATCTAGTATTCCTATGCCATGTGGCGGCCATCTTGGATTTTTCAAAAAGTCCAAGGACACGTGTTTGTTATCTGACACATATGCATAATATGGGTGATAAGGATGTGGAAAACATTGAGAAATTACTTAATATGATAAAAATCAACATAAGTACGTATATATTTCTACAGAATTTCACAAATTGGCGGCCATTTTGGGTTTTTTGGCCAAACGGTACATTTTTTCTGTGGGCTACGGCTCTAATTTGATTTAGTATGTCAAAAGGTACCCACATGCAAAATTTGGTGCTTTTATCCGCCGTGTCACGATTTGGCCATTTTTTTGCCCTAAGCAACCGGACTAGAATGCGTACATATAGAATACAGTTTCTAGGTGTGTTCTAGTACGACTACTGAAAAACACGCTTGGACTCTTTATTCATGTTGTTGACTGAATTATTTACCAATCAGACTGTTAACAGGGGAGAATCCAGGATTCTTTGAAGGG